TTTATTCTTTTCTTGTTTACAAACATATTCCTTAACCCTCTTACATGTTAAGTCAAGTAGTATAGCTTTACTAAGACTCTGTATTGCTATATTACAACATGAGTTGCATATTAATTTACACATTTTCTGCTTTACAGGTAGCCCGATTATGACCTTTTTGTCCACATCTTTGACATCGCCTTCTATTATCATGAATTGGTTCACTAGATTGCAGATCCTTATTATCGTTATTAGCAGGTAATTGAATGCTATCATCATTATTCGACAAGCACTGACGTTTTCTTGTTTGTAATTCTTGAAGTTCTATTGAGCTTTTTGCTCTACCAGGCGGTCTTCCTTTTCGAGGAGAAATCATAGGATTGGTAATCAGGATCTCTTCAGCGTGATTATCATTATTTGATTGCTTGTTGGAAAGAAATTGCTAGCACATTCCAATTAGTTCGTCATATGAATTGGTATTAATGACAATGTCAATGGTTTTTTTCATCAATCTGTATACATAACCATATCTTAATTGAGCATTATTAACATTTTGAAGAGCCAGTGTATATAAGTTACCTCTCCGAAATTTCATTATATGTTCAAGATTGAATGTGTAATTAGTAGTAATATAACCATTGAGAGGTGATTCCACACATAGCGAAATAGGATTATGTTGCTTTAAAATGTCTTAGTCATCGCCAATCTTATTGTCTCTATACCACCGTCTTGAAATAAGACCAATATTCCATCAGGCGCATGGAGAAGTCTGGAGAACCTTGTAAAAATGACGACACAGATAACTATATGTAACCAACGATTGCAAGTACATCGGTGTGAACCATCCGAAATTAATACAATAAATTGAGATTTGGTGCTGCATGAAAAAGTAAGACGCCAAATCTCAAGAACATCTGAAGTTTCAATTGTCTCCAAAATATCAGTTAATAAACTTTGCGCGAGTTCATAATCATCTTCATGTGCTCCGTCATTTACATTATCATCTAAGTGTATCTAAGATAAAAATAAAAAAATTAGTATACTATAGCATTTAAACGGAACAATATTAATAAAGTATGCTAGCAGTATATAAGAAAAAAGTTAAAAAAAAAAAAACCAAAAATAAAATAAAAGTAAAGAAAAAAAAAAGGTAAAAAAAGGTAAAATAAAAACTAATTGTCTACCTTTTTAATGGAGTTCCAGTCATTATGATCAAGCTTATAAGCATCGTAAAAAAAACACTCTTGCATCTGTTTACGAATATGTACTGATATTGAATCCATAAGATATTTACTCACAATAGTATCCAAAGATTTAAAAAGGGTCTTTGGTATAGTCGCAAGTCCAACCGTTGGTATTTGATGTTTATATTCTTCTACACAAGCAAATTCGGCTTCTTTGTCAAGCATATCTTGAATTTCCTTAACAAGGGTCATTAAAGAAGAGTTCGCTTTAATACTATCATGTATTTTTTTTATTAAAGCCTTCAACTCTCTGCGTACTATTTGATCCTGCTGTAAATTGATTGTTGATGTAACATATTGCCCACTTTTTTTTAGAAGGTTTAAGTTGGCGTTTAATATAATTTGTGGCAACCGTATATTTCGATTTGAGAGATTCAAATCGACTTTCAAAAATATTAACAACCATTGTATTTTGACAGGTATAAAAATCTTTATGGAACTCATTAAATTAAACTGTGCCCAGTTTGTTTCTTAAATTTTTCTTTAAATTAAGATCGACATGAAACAAACATAAGCAATGCAAAGACTTTGGAAATTCTGCCATAATAGCATTAGACATTGCCAGATCAGAATCAGTATAAACCACTCGCAGCTCCAGATTACCAGTACATTTATTTAACATGCAAAGTACCCAGATGAAACTATCTTCAGTTTCATCTTCTAATAAAGCAGTGGCAACTAAACGAGTACGGTTATAATTGTCGATGGCTACAAAAAAACATGCAACCATGTTATACTTGTTAGTGTGTGATGTGGTATCAAAAAATATAATATCGTGAAATCTTGTCCAAATATACCGCTGTTCTGGAGAAAGCCAAATAAGACTGCATAATCTTTGTTCAGAACCATCAAACCTAGCTTCAACAAACCATCCAGGATCACTAGTTTTAAGACTATATAAATGTAGCAAAAGATTTGACACATCTAATTCATTTCCATATGAAAGCTTTTTTTTAGCACACTGAATTGCATTGTATAAATTTTTTTGATGTATTTTCCATCCCAGAAATCTACCCCTTAAAAGTTGCCCTATATTCTGTGCTCCAGTCGTACCATGCATTACACAAAAATTAATAAATTCTAACATCTCTTCATCCAACTTACGATAACTTGCAATTGTGATTGAGGGTGCTGATGATATCGGATAATTGTGTGAATCTACAACAGTCGTAAATGTTATAATTGATGATGACTTTGGTTCCCATTGACCCGCCACTCACATTCATTGCATTTGGATTTACGATCACGCTGGACTTCTGGATTTAAGGTCTTTTTAGGTTTATATTTACTCGTGCAACTACATTCCCAGCTGATTTTGTATACTACTTATATACCATCCTCAAGAAAAGATTCAGTACGTTTTTTCCGAATGCTGAAACCTTGCTCCAATCCATAATTTTTTAAAAACACTTCAGCATCATTCCATGTTTGAAAAGTTTGACCACAATAAATTTTCAATACCGATTTATCATTTTCATCAGAAGAATCATCAAATATTTCAACTTCCTCTGACTCATCAAGTAAGTTCATGAAAGATGACTCAT